TATGCCATCTCGGAATACACCTATTAGAATAGGGCATTTTGGAAAACTCAATGTTGGAATACCACCTCATTGGAACACTGCCATATTGAAACATGCCGTATTGGAACAGGGAGAGTTGGAGCATGCCATGTTGGAACACTACCATCTTGGAAGTGGAGTTCCATTCAGGTTCCACAATTTCCAGTCTGGTTGTGGTTGAGCAATAAATTTCTCCACTCTATGCCTCAGTTGTCCTAGCTCTAATGGGAGCAGATGTGATGCAATGGTTCAGTCATCGGGTCAACATTTCCCGAGTCCCTGTGAATACAACAGTGAGTCAGGCCTACCCTCAAGGAGCTCAAGGTCCAGTGGGGGAGATGAAGATTGAGCCAGATGGCTCTGGTCCAGGGTGACACCTGGAAGGAGACACCTGCTGTGAAGCCCACATGAGAGAATGACTAAACCAAGCTGTGGCAGGTGATGTTAGGTGGTGCCCAGTGAAAGCTTGCTCTCGAAGATGATGTTCTAGGAAAGACCGGAAGGAGAAGAGGTGGTCGGCTAGAGACGGTGGGAAAAGCATAAAAAAAACCCAAAACCTCAGAAGCAAAGGCCCGGGATCAGAGACATGGTGTCACAAAGGGACATTTACCATGGTCTCCAAAGACGGAAGACAGAAGTGGGCAGGGCTAGACCATGTGGTGAGTACCCAGTACTCATGGGCCTTGATGGCTAGAGAGAGGTCAAAATGAGTTTCCACTGGGCCGTGATGCTCTCCAAGTACTCGGTATGTATGCCAGGAAACACGGCAAATGGAACCTTTGATCACTTTCATATTGTAAGTTCATGTTGAAACAAGAGTGACTTCAATATCTTGGTTAAAATAAAACAATAGAATTCTTTATTTTGTTTTGCTTTGCCACACTGGGGGTTGAACCCAAGGCCTTTCACACGCTAGGTCATATCCACCACAGAGGTGTAAGTCTAGCTCTGTCCACTTTTTATTGTGATGGGGTCTTGTGCTGTAGCCCAAGCAAGAAACCTTCCTTTCTGAGCCTACCCACTACCTGGGATGACAGGCTCAGGCCACCAGACTCATCCAGTTCCTATAGCTTTTTAGATTTTCTCCTTCTTCCTCCTTCTCCTTCTCCTCCTCCTCCTCCTCCTCCTCCTCCTCCTCTTCTTTTCTTTTTTTGCTTAAATTTACTTTCTAAGTACAAATAAAAATTGCATATAGTTACGATATAGACATGATGTTTTAATAAATGTATACATACATTGCGGAATGCTTAAGTAAAGCTATTCAACAAAAGCATTGTTTCATCTATTTTTTTTTGTGTGATAAGAACATTTAAGATCAAGGCTGGAGAGATGGCTTGGCGGGTAAGAGCACTGGTTGCTCTTGCAGAGGACTCAGGTTTGATTCCCAGCACCCACATGGCTACTAACTCCAGTTTCAGGGGATTCTAACACCCTCTTCTGACCTACGCAGGCACTGCGCAACATGGGTGCACTTACATGTAGGCAATACACTCATAACATTAAATAAGAAATAATAAATTAAAAAATGTATTTTTTAAAAAGAACATTTAAGGCTGGGTGTGGGTGCATGCCTTTAATCCAGCACATGGAAGGCAGAGGCAGCAAATCTCTGTGAGTTCTAGGCCAGCTGGGACTACAAAAAAAGAGAACATTTAAGCCCATTTTACTATTGATTTATTGATTGATTGATTAACTGATTTTGGTGGTGCTGGGATAGAATTCAGGGACTTGATCACTCTAGGCATGTTTTCTACCACTGAGCCACACCCCAGCCCCTCACTGGGGATCCTAGGCAGGGGCTCCACCCAAGTGTTCTACCACTGAGCCATGCCCCCAGCCCCTCACTGGTAGACTATAGGCAAGTGCTCTACTGCTGAGCCACACCCCAGCCCCTCACTGGTAGACTATAGGCAAGTGTTCTACCACTGAGCCATGCCCCCAGCCCCTCACTGGTAGACTATAGGCAAGTGCTCTACTGCTGAGCCACACCCCAGCCCCTCACTGGGGGTACTAGGCAGGGGCTCTACCCCTGAGCCACACCCCAGCCCCTCACTGGGGGATCCTAGGCAGGGGCTCCACCACTGAGCCATGCCCCGCCTTGTTTTACTTTTAGAAACATCATGCATATGCAGCAGTTACGTGTGTACATGCACTAGTGTCACTTTGGTCTTGACTAGGGCTGCTTGCTGAAGATCCTCCAGTCTCAGAATGAGGATTAAAACTTTGCCCTGAGGGGTCTGAGGAGTTGTACAGAGTTCTGAGAAGCCAAGAGGGAAGAATTAGCCCAGAGAAGGTTGGGGGAGGCCCCTCTGGTCCAGAGAGTGAGGAGTCCCCAGTCTAAATGGCGACCAGGAACCAAATGCATTGACTCTGTGTCTGGGAGAATGATGGGACCAAAGAAGAAGATACTAAGTCCAGAGGGGACTCAGTGTGAAGCACCCAGAGTAGCCTCAAGTGCTTAGTTTTCATTCCCAGGGTGATGGGGACTGAGTCATCTAAGGTGATTGGATTTGTGAAAGAAGAGGGTCGCCTGAGGTGCCAAGGCCCCTAGGTGCTGAGGGGTACGTTGCTCATGTTTACTGCTCCCGTTGCCCAGTGGTTGTCCAGTATGTGGCCCCTTTCCCTCTTCAGTCCCAGCCCTTCCTAGAGTCCCTCCACCCAGCCACTTACAGCCCACACTGACCTCTGCCTCTGCCCCACCCACGGCTGTACCCTCTCCTCCTCACTCACTCTTGACTTTCCCAGACCCAAGGTCAAAGCCACATAAAAGTCTCCATAATCCTCTGGGTTTCCCTACAGCCTCAGGTGCCTTTGTTTATCATACCTCATACCAGTCCCCAGAGTCTGCACCAAATCAATTCTCTCTACCTGTGTAGACATATGTGCAAATCTCAGTCTGCATAGCCTCCTGCAACCCACTAGCCTCCCAAGCCTCGTCACCATCCCTCCGGGTACCCCGGAGCCTGACTGCAGGTGGTGTGCAGAGCAGAGGAGAGATCGGAGAGCTGGAGATGGAGGTAGGGGTGGGGAGACCCAGAGGAAGGGAACTGGAGACTCCAGAGGCGAAGGGTGGGTCAGAGTCAGAGAGATGAAGAGAGACACAGAAAGAGAGAGGGAGAGGCAGAGCAGAGAAACAGAGACAGAGATAGAGAGACATACAGAGAGAGATAGAGAGACACAGAGAGAAACAGAGACAGAGTGTCAGAGACAATCAGGAGAAACAAAATAACTAGAGACTCCAGAGGGGGAGGGGATAGAGAGAGGAGAGGGACAGAGAGATGGAGAGAGACAGAAAGGCAGAGACGCAGAAAGACAGAGACACAGAGATAGGGAGACAGAGAGAAACAGGTAGAGACAGCAAGATAGACAGGCATAGAAACAGAGTCAGAGAAAGAGATGGAAAGGTAAAAAGGGCCAGAGAGATGGAGAGAGACAGACAGACAGACAGGCAGGCAGACAGACAGATAGAGGCAGGGAGACAAACGCAGAGTCAGACAGGAGATAAAGTCTCAGACAGAAACAGAGACACAGACACAGGCAGATACACACACACACACACACACACACACACACACACACGGTGGGGGGGGGCAGAGACCCCAAAGGCAGGCAAACGAAGAAGAAGGACCAGAAGGGACCAGAGTTCTGAAATATTCAGATCAGGGATAGCAGGGCTGTCAGTCACAAGGACACAAAGGGAAGTCATTGAGATAACCTCCGCCCATCTTCCTGGAAATGAGTTGAGAAACAGAGCTGCCGGGGCAGCGTGGCCCTGGGCTGCTGGGGACAGACAAAGCCTGATTGTTGAAAGGTTCTTTCCCCATAAGGTTCCATCCTGCTTCCCAGCCTGGGTCAGGGGTGGGGGACAGCTTGGCAAACATTCTTTCTCAATAGCTGGTTGCCAGCTCCCACTCCCCTGGGGACATGGAGGTCGTGGGCACCCACAGAGGGACTTACAGGTAGGTGAGTCAGCCTGACCCCACTGAACCTGGTCAGCTGGTTTCAGTGTCAACGTGATACAGAGTCAGGAGGACCTGCAGGCCCCAAGCAGGGATACTTGGGGTACTGATGGAGGCTGGGGCACTGCTGCTTGCCTGGGAGCTGACACTGGATTCTTAGCATCATTCTGTCTGCAACCAAAACAAGCCTAAATCGAAAAATCTCTCATCTCTCTGTCCCTCAGACCCAGGGGACCAGGACCCATCTCTCCTCCCTCAGACCCAGGGACCCAGGACTCAGCCTCCTCCCTCAGACCCAGGAGACCCAACCTAGCCTCTTCCCTTAGACCCAGGGGTTCCGACCCCAGCCATCTTCCCTCTGGCCCCAAAGTCCAAACCTTGGCCTCCTCCCTCATACCAAGGGGTCCAGACCCCAGCTTCCTCCCTCTGACCTAGGGATCAAGATCCAAGTTCCTCCTTCAGATCTAAGGGTCCAAGACCCCACCCAGTCTCCTCTCTTAGAAGTCCAGGCCTCAGCCTCCTCCTTTAGACCCAGGGATCTAGTCCCCAGCTTCCTCCCTGTGAACCGGGATTCCAGTATGCTGTCTCCTCCTCAGACACAGGATCCAGACTCCAGCCTCATTGCTCAGAACCAGGGACCAGGCCCCAACCTCATCCCTCAGACCCAGGATTGTAGACCCTAGCCCTCCTTTCTCAGACCCAGGGATCCAGACCCCGACTTCTTCCCTCAGACTCAGGGTCCAATCCCCAGCCTCCTCCCTCTGACCCAGGGTCCAAGCCCCAACCTCCTCCCTTTGACCCAGGAGTCCATCCATGGTCACTGTGGACCAGAGCTGGATGCAGCCCTCAGGGCAGCCAGCTGGTCAGGGGTCACCTGAAGCTGAGCCGTGGGGCAGGAGGAATGTATGTGGGAGGCCTTGGTGAGAAGGAAGGGTGTGGCTAGCCGCCTGGCTCAGAGACTAGAGGAGAGAGGGGTTAAAAGGACGTATCTGGGGTGTCTGCAGACAGAGTCATCCTCTTTCAGGGAGACCAGAGGGCCGAGCGGGTTTCTGGAAGACAGTCCTGCACCCCAAGCTCTCAGCACCTAGGTGCTACCCGAAGGCTTGTTTCTGTCAGCACCCTCTCTCCCCTCTTTTCTTGGGGAACCCGCTGCCTTGCTGAGTTGACTGGAGCACAGCTGGCCATGACGGTAAGAAGACAGGAACTGCAGAACCCACGGTTGTCGGGGGAGTGGTGGCTGTGGGGGCGTGACAGGTGTGTACAGAGCCAAGATTCAGAGTTTGTCCCGTGGAGATGAAGGACTCAGGGACCCCTTGGGCTAATCTCTCTGTTACTAGTGTTACCAACTTGGGCTCGAGGATAGTCACTGTCTAGGGGGCCTAGTTCTTTTTCTTCAGCCAATTAAAGAATTAAAAGGCAGGAAATGGGGCTAGAGAGATGGCTCAGTGGCTAAGAGCACCGATTGCTCTTGCAGAGGACCTGGGTTGGGTTCCCAGTACCCACATGGCAGCTAACAACCATCTGTAACTCCAGTTCCAGGGGATCCGACACCCTCTTCTGACTTCCATGGGCATTGCACAACACGGATGCACTTACACACATGCAGGCAATACACTCATACACATAAAATAAAAGCAATAAATAAGCTGGGCATTGTGGTACATGCCTTTGATCCCAACACTCAGGAGGCAGAGGCAGATGGATCTCTGCGAGTTCAAGGCCAGCTTGGTCACTGAGTTCCAGGTCAGTTGGTGTTACTGGGAGAGCCTCTCTCAAAAAAGACAATAATAATAAACTTGGGTGCACTTTCATACATGCAGGCTATACACTCACACCCATTAAATAATAATAATAATAATAATAATAATAATAATAATAAATAAAATATTTTTTAAAGGCAGGAAAAATCTCAAACCACCAGAGAGAACAGCAGTCTAATACACTTTATTGAAAGAAGATACACACATATACACACATTCACAAAGAAAAGCTCTCCACAAGTGGACAGGGGTCTCAGGAAACTGAGAGAGGGAGGATCTTTTTTTAAGGGTCTTAATGGGGTCCCCTCCCATAATTTTGAATTGGTCAACTTAAAAAAAGAAGAAAAGGCTGAAAGGTTTATAGTTTCAAATGATGGGTATCCAAATCTAGCTCTTGCCTTATGTGGACTGATTGAGCTAATTGGCTGGAAAAAGAGCCTTGCCCACTAGAGATTGAGCCCCCAAGCCTTTGTTTCCAACCACGAAGAGGGCAGAAGCCACCTTTATTTATCAGTGGCCCTTTGCCTATCTATTTACCTGTCCAAAAATATGGCTAGTATCTCGTTCCTCAGTAGACAGGGAAGCAGAAAGTTTGACTATTTCTCCCACTGGACCCAAACACCTGGTCTACATCCTGACTGGTTGGTGCCTGTGCTCACTGGACCCTCAGATTCAAGATGTGGGATGAGAAAGGCAAAATCAGAGAAGAGGAGAGCAGAGGTCAAGGGAGGACAGGACAGCAGGCCAGACCAGGTCATCGAGGAAGTAGAGGATGGGTGAGGATAGCCTGAGGTCCTGGATAGAGGCTGGAGCACCGGCTAATAGAGCTGTTGGCTTCCTCCTGCAGATGACCATGAGAATGCTGGCCCTGAAGACCTTGGTCTTGTGCCTGGTTTTTGCCGCTACAGGTAGGGAGAGAGGGACGAAGATGAGGGAGGAGGTTGGGAGTTGGATGGTGGCTGTTGACAGATGGGGGGGGTGCAGTGTTCAAAGCTCCGACATGGGATGAGGTGGAACTGAAATGAGGAGGATGTTGTGGGGACCGGCTGAGGATGGGGTGAGTCTGAGGGTTTGAGGACGGAGGCAGAGGTGACCAGGGAGAGGTGAGAAGACAGGAACGAGGTTGGGGGCAGGACTGGAGGGGGAGACCCACTCGTTGGTGGCCCACCTTGGTGGGTGGATCTGGGTTCTCCGAGTCCTTCTCTGACTCAGCCTCTCTCTCCCTCAGGCTTGGCAGAGGATAAGGATAAGGTGGTGCATGGTGGCCCCTGTGAGAAGGACTCTCACCCTTTCCAAGCCACCCTGTACACCTCGGGTCATTTGCTGTGTGGTGGGGTCCTCATTCACCCCCTGTGGGTGCTCACAGCTGCGCACTGTGATAAACCGTGAGTATCTCTTTGTTGGAGCAGATACGAGGAGACCTTGGTCATGTCTTGGAGACTTCAAGAGGGAGGCAGACAGAAGCCTTGGCCATCCCATAACCAGCTTCATTAGGCCAGGTATCAACAGCAATTCTGGGACCCAGAGGAGATCAAGATTCGCAGGTAGAGGTGAATCTACCTTATGTAAAATGGTGCAGTGTTTGCATATAATTATGCACATCTGCTCATAAACTTATCGTCTCTAGAAGGGCTGATGGTACACCACAGTTCAGAGGGATCCGATAACCTCTTTTGGCCCCTGATCATGCACAGCCCCCCACACAGGTACATGTATATTCACACAGACACATACACATGCACACATAAATAAATAAAATGAAACTTAAAAATAAATAAATAAAATTATCTCTAGCTTACAATAATACCCATGACAAAATACTATATAAATGGTTGTTATCTGCATTGTTTGGGAAATTATAACAAGAAAAAAAATCTACATATATTTAATACAAATACGTTTCCCCAAAATATATTTTAAAATTTTTGTTTATTATTACTATTATGTGTGTATGGTGTGTGTGTGTGTGTGTGTGTGTGTGTGTGTGTGTGTGTGTTACAGCATGCCTGTAGAGGGAGGTCACAGGACAGCTTTAATGATTCCAATCCTTTCTCCCACTTTTAGGTAGGTTGTGGGAGTTGGACTTGGGTCTTTAGGCTCATGCAACAAGCCCTTTTACCTGCTGAGCCATCTCACCAGCCCCTCCTCTAATATTTTTGATCTCTGAAGGGTTAAATCTGTGGGTACAGAACCTGAAGTTTGGGGTTTGTGTCAAATAGTGTAGGAAATTTTTTAAAATATTTTATTTATTTTTATTTTATGCATATGAGTGTTTTGTCTGTATGTAAGTACACCACACTTGTGCAATGTCTACAGAGGGCAGAAGAGGGTGTCAGATCCACTAGAATTGGAGTTACAGGTGGTTGTTAACTTCTATGTGGGGTGCTGGGTCATCTGCAACAGCAGTCAGTGCTCTTAACTACTGAGCCATCTCTCCAGCCCCTATTTTTATTTTATGTGCATGAGTGTTTTATCTGCATGTATGTAAGTGCACCATGTGAGTGCAATGCCCACAGAGACCAGAAGAGGGCGTTGAATCCTCTGGAACTGGAATTACAGACAGTTGTTAATTGCCATGTGGGTGCTGGGAACCGAGCCCACATCTTCTGCAAAAGTAATCAGTGTTCTTACGCACTGAGCCATCTCTCCAGCACCTAGTACAGGAAAATTAGAAAGGCTAAATTCTAGAAAGATGAACTTGCCTTTTACTGAGCCTGGGTAGACTGAGGGAGGAGCAGGGCAGGTAATGCACCTGTTCTCTGGGAGCATCAGGGCAGTCCAGGGCGGCAGGTGAATCCTAGCTGTCTCCTCGCCAGGAACCTGCAGGTTTACTTGGGAAAACACAACCTGCGTCAAAGAGAGAACTTTCAAAAGCGGATTTCCGTCAACCGGACTGTGGTCCACCCTCACTACAATCCCACCACCCACGACAATGACATCATGATGGTGCGTCTGAGATTTCCAGCCAGACTCTCTAAAACGATCCAGCCTCTGCCATTGAAGAGAGACTGCTCACAGGAGAATCCCAGTTGCCGTATCCTGGGCTGGGGCAAGATGAGGGATGGTGAGTGAGGGGAGAGAGACAGGGGCTGAAGGAACAGAGGAGAGCCTCCAGAGACGGAGGCGGGATGGTAGATGCTGGGCTGTGGGAAGGTGGGCAGAAGAGGAGGACCGATGAGCCAGTGTGTCCCATGGATGAAAGATCAATGGAAAGAGAGGAAGATGGGAGGGGGTGGACCAATGGAGGATAGAGACCATGGATGGACAGCATGGGAAAGGTGGGTCACAAAACAAAGGTCAATGAGAGGGGAAGCCAGGAGAGAGGCACTGGTATTGGGAAGGAGGTCACTGCTCAGAAGGATGAGGGGAGCAAATGGGAGAGCCCTGGGAGAGCCCGCCAAGGATGGCACTGCCGGCACACCCCTGTGATCCCAGGTGGAGGCGGGAGGATCAGGAGCCCCGGGTCAGCATCAGCTACACAGCGAGTTTGAGGCCAGCCTGAGGCTCAGGTTCAAACCACCCCAAAGCCAAGACAAAACAGAAGGTTGTGAATTAAGAGAAATGGGTTAGAGGGCATTAATGGCATAATTCTAGCATTTGGGAGGCTGAGGAAGCCAGCCTGGGCTACATAGAGAGTTGGAAGCCAGCCTGGGCTACATAGTGAGACCATGCTTTATTTTATTTTATTTTTACATGTGTGCCTGTGTGTGGAGGTCAGAGGTTAGTCTCAGGTGCCACTTGTCAGGAGCCATCCACATTGTATATGTGTGTGTGTGTGTGTGTGTGTGTGTGTGTGTATGTGTGTGTGTATCTGTGTCTGTGTGTCTGTATGTATTTTTGTGCCTGTGTGTATGTCTCTGTGTGTTGTAAGTCTGTGTGCCTGTGTCTGTGTGTTTCTGTATGTCTGTGTCTGTTTGTGTTGTATGTCTGTGTGCCTGTGTGTGTCTGTGTCTGTTGTATGTCTGTGCATCTGTGTGTGTGTTTGTGTGCGTCTGTGTCTCTGTGTGTTGTATGTCTGTTTGTGTTTCTGTGTTGTATGTCTGCACACCTTCATGTGTAGTGTGCATATGTGTAGAAGCTAGCGGTGTCTAGTGGCCTTCCTCTACTACTCTCCACTTATTTTCAAATTATTTTATTTATCTTTTTTGTGTGTATGAGTGTATTGCTTGCATGTATGAAAGTGCACCTATGTCATGCAAGGCCCTCAGAGGTCAGAAGAGGGTGTCAGATCCCCTAGAACTGGAGTTGCAGATAGTTGTTAGCTGCCATGTGGGTGCTGGGAACCAAACTCAGTCCTCTGCAAGAGCAGCCAGTGCTCTTAACTGCTGAACCATCTCTCCAGCCCTCGTCTCTCTACTTATTTTTTGAGACTGCTCTCTCACTGGGACTTGGTGCCAAGCTGGCTGGCCCCACCCACCAGGTTAAGCTGGCTAGCCAGCAAGCTTCAGGGGTCCTCCTGTCTTAGAGAACTCATATAAAAAGCTGGGCATAGTGATGTACTTATAAATTTGAGTCTGGGGATCAAAGTCAGGTCCTCCTGCTTGTGTGGCAAGCCCTTTACCAACTGAGCCACTTCCCAAGTCCAAGATCCTGCCTTAAAAGAAAGGAGTTAATGGGAAAAAGCCCAATTGGAAAAGGTCAGTGGTGGAGCAGAGCCGCTGGGGAAAACAACGGGATGGGTTAAGAACCAGTGAAGACAGGCCAGTACGTGATGGGACAATGAAAAGGTGGACAAGGACAGTAGAAAGTGCAGGCTGACAACGTAGGTGGGGTCAGTTACAACAGGACCATTGAGGGACGGAGACCACTGGATATGGCCAATGAAAGGAAAGAATAAGGGCTGTAGAAAAAGATGAGTGATCAAGAGGTCTAATTAGAGGCTGGAGAGATGGCCCGGGAGGTTAAGAGCACTGGCTGCTCTTGCACAGGACCTGGTTCAGTTCCCAGCACCTACATGGTGGTTCATAACCCCCTATAACTCCAGTTCCAGGCATCCAATGCCTTCTTCTGGTCTCTAGGGGCATTGCATGCAGGCAGTGCACATATAGGCAGGCAGGCACACACACACGTTATATATACATTTAAAGAGATGATTAATTAGAACAAACCAGTGGTTAAGAAGGACAGGCTAATGCCCAAGGAGAAAGAGAATCCTAGCTAGAGGTCAGCTGGACCAGTGGAAGAGCAACCAGTGGAGACAGGGTGTGAGAAAAATGGAGGAGAGATGATGAGGGAGGGAGCGAAAAGTGATAAGGAAAGGGATGAATCGGGAGGCAGTGACGAGAGAGAGAGAGAGAGAGAGAGAGAGAGAGAGAGAGAGAGAGAGAGGGGAACCAACGGGAACTGGAGGGTGGGGCTCCCTGGGGAAGATGGGGATGAGGCTGTGTGACCCTGACCCATCTCCCTTATCGCAGGTGACTTCCCAGACACCATCCAGTGTGCTGAGGTACAGCTGGTGCCTCATGAGGAGTGTGAGCGTGCCTACCCGGGCAAGATCACCCAGAACATGTTGTGCGCAGGCGACAGGAGAGATGGGAACGACTCCTGCCAGGTGAGACCACAGGGAGAGGCACGACGTCAGCCAGAGACAGAAAGAGGCACAGACCAACACAGAGATGAGCAGAGGCTGAGAAAGTCAGGCACGAAGGAACCAGAGACAGAACGGGGAAAGACCCCGTCTCACACATACAGATACAGAAATAAAAAAGGCAGCCAGGGATCTGAGCACGACTCAGTCCGTGCAGCACCTGGGACACAAGTGTGACGGCCAGAGTTTGGTTCCCAGCACCTATGTAAGAAGCTAGGTGTGGGGGCTGGAGAGGTTGCTCAGTGGTTAGAGCACTGGCTGCTCTTGCAGAAGACCCAGGATCTGTTCCCAGCAGCCACATGGCAGCAAACAACCATCCCTAACTCCAGTTCTAGGGGATCCGACGCCCTCTCCGAGGGCACACACTGAGGGATGCACTTACACACATGCAGGCAAAACACTCATACACATAAAATTTAAAAAATATATGGTGGCACACACCTTTAATGCCAGCACTCGGGAGGCAGAGGCAGGCGGATCTCTGTGAGTTCAAGGCCAGCCTGGTCTACATAGTGAGTTCCAGGAAAGCTGGGGCTACAGGGAAACCCTGACTCAAAAAGCACACATAAGAATCTAAAAACAAAAACCACAGTGAATGTCTCCTGAGAACGTGATCTAAGGCAGACCACTGGCCTCCACATGCATACATATTTGCATGTACCACACACGCACACACACACACACACCAGCCAGTAGAGACAGAAAATTGAGACACAGAGGAGACATGAAGAGCCAGCGAGGCGCTACAAGGAGGCACGCCTACTGCTTAGACAGGGCAAGCTCTGGAGGAGGGAGGGAGATCCCAGCAGCAAAGGTGCAGAGGGAGGAGCTCCATGTTCACCGTCAAAGCCTGTTGCTCTGGTCCTCACTGCTCCGTAGCCTTGGCTTGTCCTCCGGCTCACAATAATCCTCCTGCCTCAGCCTCCAGGGTGCTGGGATTTCGAACGCAACCCACCACGCCCATCCACCTAGTCCTCACCACCTTTAACTGGAGCATCCCCCACTTTTATGCAACCAGTGTCTCCTCATTGCGCTAAAATGACCCTAATGCAATGGCCCAGCCAAGACAGCAAGAGGTACAGAAAGAGCGACACAGTGATTTGGAAGTAAAGAAAGGGCAGGGTTATGGCCAGCCTGGAGGTCGGAGGTGGAGGGGCGTGCTCCTCCATGCTCTCTCCTGGGCCCATCTTCCCCAACCTCTTCCAGGTCTTAGCATTCTCTCTCTCTCTCTCTTGCTCTCTCTCTCTTTCACTCTCTCTCGCTCTCTCTCGCTCTCTCACTCTCTCGCTCTCTCTCTCCCCCATCCATATCTTTATGGATCTTGGTGTCTCTTGAGTTTCCCTCCCTCCCTTCCCCCTCCCTCTCTCCCTCCCTCTTTTCCTCTCCCCCCTCTATCTACCCTTATGGATCTTTATGTCCCTGAGTCTGTCTGTCTGTCTGTCTGTCTGTCTGTCTGTCTGTCTGTCTCGTTCGCTCTTCTCCCTCCCTGTTTCTCCTTCTCTTCTGTCTATACCTTTTACCTTTATGGATCTTAGTGTCCTCGACCTCTCGTCCCTCCCTCTTTTCCTCCCCTTCTCCTATCTATACCTTTACAGATACTGGTAATCCTCACCGCCCCCAACTGAATCCAGGGTCTCTCCCATGCTCTCCGCAGGTGCTCTACCAGTAAGCTACATGCTTGGCCCTCTCTTGTTTTATTTTGAGACAAGGTTTCCATAGTAGCACAGCTGATCCTAAACTTGCAATCCTCCTACTTCAGCCTCCCAAGGAGCTGCAGAGACAAGCCCCACCACACGGAGCCCTTCCCTCCATCTGAATGTCTCTCTCTCTCTCTCTCTCTCTGTAACCTCTGTGTCTGTGTGTCTCTGTGTGTGTCTGTGTGTCTGTCTGTATCTGATTTTTCTTTCTTCCCCACAGGGTGATTCTGGGGGTCCCCTGGTATGTGGGGATCACCTCCGAGGTCTTGTGTCATGGGGTAACATCCCCTGTGGATCAAAGACGAAGCCAGGGGTCTACACCGATGTCTGCAATTATGATAAATGGATCCAAAACACCATAGGGCACAACTGAGCATGACATGGGACATCTGACTCGACCTATGACCCCTGCATCCACTGCCTGCTGCAGAATCTTGCTCCCTAAGACCTTGACCCCCACCATGGCCCCCTGATGCCCAGATCTGACCTGATGCTGAATAAAGTTAAAGACACATAGCATAGACCATTGCTGTCTGTTGGGCTTCATCCCTGCCTCCTGGAGAGAGTGAGGCATCAACCTGAGGGTTTGGTTAGCACATGGACTCCTGGGGTTGACACTGTCTGTACACTCTTTGGAAGTGCTTTCCTTTACACTGTGAGTGTTCTCATCCACAAAATTAGGATAATAAAGGACTGGAGAGATGGCTCAATGGTTAAGAGCACTGGCTGCTCTTACAGAGAGGACCTGGGTTCAGTTCCCAGCACCCACATGGCAGATAATGACTGCCTATATGTCCAATTCCAGGGGATCTGATGCCTTCTTCTGACCTCCTTGGGTACTGCACACATGTGGCACACAAAAACTCACATAGACACATGCACATACACACACAAAGTAAATAAATAAATAAAACTTTAAAATTAGGATAATAGGGGCTAAAGAGATACCTCAGCAGTTAGGAGCATGTGCTGCTCTTACAGAGGACAGGAGTTCAGTTCCCACCACATTGGGTAGCACCCACATGGCAGCTCACAACCACCTGTAACTCTAGTCCCAGAGGCTCCGATGCCCTTTTCTGGCCTCCAGAGGCACTGCACGCACATGCCCCATGTGTACACATTTAGGATAATAGTGTGTTCTTCTTAAGGTTGGCTATAAGGCTTGAAGCATGCAAAATGCACAAAACGCTGAAGGACCCACCCACCGTGTGCTCAGTACAAGGGGAACAGTTTTACTAATGGAGCTCTGGCATAGCTGTTTCCTCGGACCGAAACGTTTCCTCCTAGAGGGAGAAGAGCTCCTGAAACCTAAAAAAGGCTCAGGAACCTCACGCAACAAACATGACTCAGGAGATTCCCAAAGTTACAAGGCTCACAGGCCTCTCCCCAGGGTTATGTAGGCAGGGTTATAAGCTGGTCTGTGGGGACTGCCTATAAGATGTGCAGGGCCCCCAGGAATACAGCTTCTGAGAGTTACCACCCGTCCTGGGGTGGGCTTTGTACCCCCATGTTGCTATAAGTAGACCCTCATGCACATGCTTTAAGTAAGCTCCCAAACAGTCATTTACTGCAGCAGTTTGAATGAGAGTCGTACCCCATGGGCTCAGGTATTTGAATACTTGGCCCCCAATTTGTGGCACTGTTTGTAGAGGTTTAAGAGGGTTCATGATTGATCCTTACCCCCTGGAACTGTAAGCCAAATAAATTCTTCTATAGTGGCCTTGGTCGTGGTGTTTTATCACAGCAACAGAAAAGTCACTAATCCATTTTCTAAGGTAGACTTGGATGGAATCATTTCCTTGGTCTGTCTTTCTGGGAGAACTGGGTGAATAGATGTTTGTTCCCAACTTCCCCCCCCCCCAGTAAAAGTCACACAACAGACACTTTTAGCTTTTTCCATTTCTGCCTTTTAAGCCTAGCTTCGCTCACACTTTATGACCCAGTTTGATCTCCACCTGGAGTTCTCTGCCTTGTACTGAGACAGGGTCTCCCTGTAGCCCCAGCTGGCCTGGAACTCACTATGTAGACCAGGATGGCCTCCATCTCACCGAGATCCACCTCCTCTGCCTCCAAAGTGTTGGGATTAAAGGTGCGCACCACCATACCCTGATAAATTTGTGTGTGTGTGTGTGTGTGTGTGTGTGTGTGTGTATAAGTGTTTTGTCTATATGTACATAAGTGCACTATGTGAGTGCAGTGCCCACAGAAGCCAGAAGAGGGTGTTGGATCCCCTAGAACTGGAGTTACAGGTAGTTGTTAGCTGCCATGTGGGTGCTAGGAACCAAACCCTAGTCCTCTGAAAGAGCAGCCAGTGCTCTTAACCCCTGAAAAATCTCTCCAGCCCATCTCCTAAACGCTCTGTGAGGTGAGAGGGTTGTGAGACTGTGGTATCCAATAAGGCTGATGGAGGTTAGATGGAGGAGAAGGCAGTCCATATCCCAACAGACTTCACACACTCAATGAGATGCAGGGTCTCTGAGGGTCATGCGGTGCCATGGAAGGTTCAGTAACAAAACAGCAGTGAAGCCAGATGGATGCTGGGCCATAGGGAAGAGGTTGCAGTGAGGGAAGACAGACTGTGGGGTGAGGGAAAAGTTTGGGGTGATGGTGCAGGAAGAGAAGGGGCGGAGCTGGAGCTGGAGGGTTGAGAAAAGGTGTACTCGCCACATGGAGAAGGGTGGGTGGGTGGCACAGCTTAGTGGGAAAAGCCTGGGGGGTATGGGAACCCCAGGAAACCACCCCCGACCGTGGCGGCTGGCCTGTGAGCCAATAGTGGGTGATGTGCCTGGAAACAGTGGTCAACAGACGACGATGCGGTTGGGGACCAGGCAGGGAACTTGACCTGACTCTCAGTGCTCTCTCTGAAGAAAAAGGAGGAGGTCAGAGCCAAGTGTCAGGGAACTTGAAGACACTGTTAGAATTTTGAAACAGGGTTTCACGTCGCTCAGGATGGATTCAAACTCTCTGTGCAGCCCATGCTGACTGAACTTTTCATCCTACTGCCTCGTCCTCCCAAGTGTTGGGGCTGCAAACGTGCTCCACCAGGCTCGTTTTACTTATAATGCTGGAGAATGAACCACGGCTTTGTGAATGCTAAGCAATGCTGTTCCAATAGAGCTACATCCCCACTACAGCTTTGTCTTAAGACCAAAGGAACGAGGGCTGGAGAGCTGGCTCAGTGCTTAGAGCACTGGGTGCTCTTGCAGAGGACCCGGGTTCTGTTCCCAGTGGCCACATGGCAGCTAACAACCATCCATAACTCCAGTTCCAGGAGATATGATGCCCTCTTCTGGTCCCCATGGGCACTGCAAGACACAAGTGCATTTACATACATGCAGGTCAAACACTCAGACAAATAAAATAAAAATAAACTAAAAAAATTTTAAAGAACAAAGAAATGTAACATTTACAGAGAGGTCAGCGGGAGGAAGTGGCTGCATTTTGTGAGTAGCCAAGAAGATGAAATCGTGACTTCAGCCAGGGGACTCTAAAAGTTAGTTGTAAATAGGGTCATGAAACTGATCAGAAGCACTAAGAAGAATCTAGAAAGTGATTGTCCTGAGCAAAGACAAAATCAACTCCTAGATTAGGAGAGAGTTTCTTTCCATAGTGGGTACCAGGAAGATGGAGAGCATCCTGGACCAGATACACAGACCTGTCAACCCAGCCACTCAGGAGGTGGAGGGAAAAAAGACAGAAAGGTTGAGGCCTGGTCAGTACAGTGAGACCCTCTCCCCCAAAGCAGAGTAAAAAGAGGGCTGAGGTCAGAGCTTAGTGCTAGGGGCCCTGCTTGGAATCCTCAGTGAGGGGCTGGGGTGTGGCTCAGTGGTGGAGCCCCCACCTAGGATCCCCAGTGAGGGGCTGGGGTGTGGCTCAGGGGTAGAGCCCCTGCCTAGGATCCCCAGTGAGGGGCTGGGGTGTGGCTCCGGGGTAGAGCCCCTGCCTAGCATGTAAGGACCTGGGTTCCACCCCTGAAAAGAAAGAAAATAAATAATAATGATGACATTCATGACCACAAATCCACAGTGAGGCCATCTTGACACATGTTACTCACACCCCAGACATGCTCCTAATTCCTTCACCTATACTGACTCATTAGCTCCTGACAGCAAACACTTGTAGGAATCGTGATTGTTCCTGTTATAAAGAGAAACTGAGGCACAGGGAGGGTCCACAGTTTGGACAAGTTCTTATATTTAGTAAGTGACAAAGCCATCCGGCAAGGTGAGGGACACAGGTGGGGACCCCAACTCTATCATACTGAAAGTTTCTTTTAATTCATCACGTTTTAGAACTAAGCACAAAAAGGGTTCAAGTCGGTCTCTTAGCATGAACTATTTTTTTAAGTAGACCCTCCACACACCTGGTATTTACTTGTGTGTCTATATTAGTTACGTCTCTGTTGCTGTGATAAAATACCACGGCCAAGCAACTTATAGAAGGGAGAGTTTATTTGCCAGAGGAATAAAAGTCCATCATGGAGGCGGAGGCGTGACAGGAGGCGGCAGCCTGAACAGAAAGTTCAACACTCACCTCTTCAAGCACATGCAGGAGCAGAGACAGAAACTAGAAATCAGACAAGGCTTAAGAACTTTCAAAGACACCCCCCAATGACACACTTCCTCCAGCATGGCCACATCTTGTAGACTTCCACTAAAAGAGCCACCACCTGGGTCTAAGTATTCAAGTACTTGGAACCTATCGGGGAGAATCTCATTTAAGGTATGGTATTCCATCCTCTGGCCCCATAGGATCATGACCAAGTCATAATACGAAGTGCATTTTGTCCAACTTTAAAAGTCCCTATAGTCTTTAACAGTCTCAACACTGTTCAAAAGTCCAACATCCAAAGTCTCTCCTGAGACTCAAGGCACTCTCTTAACTGTAAGCTCATGCAAATTCAAAAATCAAATTACGTACTTCTGACACAATGGAATGGAATATACATTCCTATTCCAAAAGGGAGGAATGGGGGCATGTGGGGGATACTCAACCAGAACCAGAGTGAAAACCAGCATGGCAAACACCAAATCCTGTAGCTTCATGCCCAAAGTCTGGGACTTCAATTCCAAAGGCCTTGGATGGTTTGGCCCCTCCCATTTTGCTCTGTGCAATGTACATCTCGCTCTTGGACTGGTACCACTCACCATATGCAACTCTCCTTAGCAGATGTCTCATGACTTTGCATCTCCAACCTTTTGAGGTTTCCACTGCAAAGCAGGTGTGACTGTCACAGCTTCACAAAATGCCCTCTGGGGGTCTCTGAGCCTACTGGGGCCTTCTTTGTGCAAGGACTTCTCTGCTACACACTGCCTGGCCTCAGTGGCTCTCTGAAACCGTGGAGGAAGAACCCATGACCTCCTCGCTCTAGCATCTCTCAGGCCTCTAAAGCCAGCACCGTGTAATGACACTGCCAGCCTGCACCCACAGTACCACAGCTTTTGAACGTGGTGATTTTCTGGAGGCACAGTGAATCCCTTGGGCTTTCAGCTTTCCCAAGTTGGAAGCTTAGCTGGGTGTGGTCTTGCCCTGAGGGTGTTCTGTTTTTCAAGTGAAAATCTGGAGGCTTCTAGAGGCTCAAATCTGCTTATCAGAGAGCAGCTCTATTCCAGGACATTAGGCTTCCTAGCTCTCTTTTTTTTTCCCCCAAATTGTACATTTTGTACTTCTTTCTGCCCCACTTGTTCACTGTAGACCTGTATAATATTCAGCATTAATAACCACACTACAGATTCAGCTGGGGGTGTTGCTTCGTGGTTAGAGCACCTGCCTTGAAATTTCCTCTATCATAGAAATTAGTCCATTAGGTTTTTTGTTTTTGTTTTTGTTTTGTTGCTGTTGTTGTTTTTGCTCTTTTTGAGACTGGTCTCTCTGTAGTCCCAGCTGACCTTGTAGATCAGGCTGGCCTTGAACTCAAAGAGATCCACCAGCCTCTGCCTCCTGGGTGCTGGGACTAAAGGCGCACCACCACCTGTGGCCCATTAGGATTCTTAAGTTAGCTTCAGGCAAGTTTTTAGGCCAGAGGCAGATGGCAGCCAGATTTTCTGCCAAAAGATCCCAATTGCTGTTTAAGTCCTTGCTTCCCTCTGGATCTATTTTGCTCTGGGCACCACCATCTTCCAGGCACCTGCTAGAACAGTCCATGCAGCATTTAACCACTTTTCTAGTCCAAACTTCCAAAGTTTTCCACATTCTTCCAGAACAACACAGTCAGGTTCTTCAAGGGGCAGATCACTCTCTGGCACCAACTTCCACTGTGGGTCAAACTCTCACATGTAGTAAGTGACCAAGTTATCCGGCAAGGAGGGGCACAAGTGGGGACACCAACTGTTCCATACTGAAGGGATCTTTTAATTCACCATGTTTTAGAACTAAGCACAGAAAGGGTTAAAGTCAGCTTCAGCATGAATTATTATTTTAAGTAGGATCTCCACACACTTGGTATTTACTTGTATGTCTAAGAGAAATTTTTGTTTCTTTTGTTTATTGTTTCTTGAGACAGGGTCTCCCTATAGCTCAAGCTGGCCTGGAACTCACTGTGTAGACCAGGTTAGCCTCAATCTCACAGAGATCGGAATGCCTCTGCCTCCTGAGTGCTGGGATTAAAGGGGTTTGACACCACACCTGGCAGACATTTTCTATTATAGGAATGGGTTTGATTTGGGCTTACAATGTGCAATTTGATTTTTTAAATCCATTAAATTTTTTTTATTTATTTGTGTTTTATGTGCATGAGTATTTGCCTACATGTATGTAGTGCATTCTGTTCATGCAATACCTGTGGAGGCCAGAAGGTGGCACAAGATCCCCTAAGACTGGAGTTTCAGTTGATTGTGAGCCACCATGTGGGTACTAAACCTGTGTCCTCTGCAAGACAGCCAGTGCTCTTAACCACTGCACCATCTCTCTAGACCCCTAAATGTGTAATTTGCTGATCTGTGATTTTCTTGTCTCTTTGGAGGATGCTGCAGATTGAACTTGGGGCCTTACACACCCTGTTATATGACTTTCAAAAATCTTTATGTATATGTATATGATGTGTGTGTGTGTGTGTGTGTGTGTGTGTGCAAGCTTGTATGTGCCAGGGCATGCTTATGGGAGTCCCCTGTCTCTACCTTGCATCTTCACTGTAGCAGTGCTCGATTACAGATGTGAGCCACTATGTTTGCCTTAACTTGGGTTCTGTGGATTTGAACTCAGGTCCTCCAGCTTGCACAGCAAATGCTTTACCCACTGAGCCATTTCCCTAGTCCCTAAATAAACCATTTTTTTTCTTTGTCTTGTGGTACTTGGGAGGGAACTCAGGGTTTCATGCTTACAAGGTAAACACTCTACTACTGAGCCACACCCTGGCCCTCCTGATATATGATTTTTTTTAAAGATTTTATTTTATTTTAAGATACTTTTATTGGGGCTAGAGAGATGGCTCAGTGGTTAAGAACACTGCCTGTTCTTGCAGAAGACCCAGGTTCAAATCCCAGCACCCACAAGGCAGCTAACAACTGTCCTAACTCCAGTTCCAGGGGATCCGACAGCCTCTTCTGTCCTCTGTGGGCATTGCATGACACAGGTACACTTACCTACATACAGGCAATACACACGTAGCATATACATAAAATAAAAATAATAAATAAAAATATTTTAAAAGATATTCTTATTTATTATTTTTATTTTTTATGTGTATGAGTGCATTGCCTACATGTGTATAAGTGCACCCATGTCATGTAATGCCCACAGAGGTCAGAAGAGGGTGTTGGATCCCATGGAACTGGAGTTAAGGATGGTTGTTAGCCACCATGTGGGTGCTGGGAATTGAACCCAGGTCCTCTGCAAGAGCAGCCAGTGCTCTTAATGACTGAGTCATCTCTCCAGTTACAAGATTTTACTTTTAATTGTGCATGTCACATGAGTACAGTACCCTTAGAGGCCAGAAGAGGGCACTGGAGCCCCTGGAATGAGAGTTACAGATGGTTGTTAGTGCCCATGTGCATGTGAGTGCCGGCAACTGAACCCAGGTCCTCTGCAAGAGCAGCAAGTGCTCTTAACCACTGAGTCATCTTTGTAACCCCTGATGTATGAGTTTTAAGTTGGAATTTGGTCTCGTTAGCAAAACCAACTTGAGGAGGAAAGGGTTTATTTCTGCTTACAATGCACAGGTCACAATCCAGCATCAAGGGAATTCAGGAACTCAGGGCAGGAATCTGGAGGCAGGAGCTGGAGCACAGGCCATGGAGGAACACTGCTTACTGATTTGGTCCCCTGGCCTGTGCTGAGCCTATTTTCTTGTACAACAGAGGACCACATGCCCAGGGGTGGCATTGCCCACAGTGGGCTGGGCCCTCCCACATCACTCAACAATCAAGTAAATGCCCCACAGACATGGGCACAGGCCAGTCCAAAGGAGGCAATTCCCCAGTTGAGGCTCCCTCTACCCAGGTGTGTCAAGTTGGCAATTGAAGCTGTCCAGCACAAAGTTATTCCAAGTTTATATCCAGTGTTAGAATATTCAAAAGAATACAAAATCAATCATATTTCCAAGAATAGACTATTTGGATTGTAAAGTTTACAGAATATTCCAGAATTTTGGTCTAAAAGCTAGAGGACTTCAACCCTGGATACATTTAAATGTAGTTTAAGATGTTTGAAGACGTCTCGTTAGTTGAGTTTGCAAACGGGACCGTACATTATTGTAATGACCACATAAAAGTGACTGTTGACACATCTCTAGAAGATTCACCACTGGTCAATATGTAGAGAATACCTGCATGCTGTCCTCTGACCTCTGCTCATGTGCACATGTACACAATAAATTAATAATAAATGAAATTCAATAAAAACTAAAAACAAAGCAAACACACCTGTAAGCTGAACTTAAAAGACCACGACGTGGGAAACAAACCAAGGAAGAAAGAGGCTGTTGATTTTTTGTTGTTTCAATGTGTGAAACATAAATTTCCAGAATCACATTAAACCTCAGAATGGGTTTTTTCTTGTTTGGCTTTTAGTCCCCTATGCAATAAAGTGATCTCTGGGGTCCACATCCCCCTTGGACAGGGGCTGGGTTTTGGAAGGGAGCCAGGCATGAACTCTAGAGGTCAGCCCAGGAGGACCTGTCTTCACATATTCACAACCCTAATTTCATGTGGTGGAGGCTGGGCTCCTGCCTTCTTGTAGAGACAGAGACCTGGAGATTCAGGTTGGGGGTGGACAGGAAGAGCAGGCATACAAAGGAGGGCAAGAGAGGTGGCCCAATGGCCAGAACGGGGCAGGGAGGGCCACCTTCCAGCTCCCCACCCAGTGCCCCATTTCCCGAAGTGCCAGGAGCCACCCACCCCCTGTCCTGGCTTCCTGACCTGTTTTTTCCATCAACAGTTGGCCCTGCCCGACTGTGTCATCCTCCTGGCTGTGCCGGCTGGGCCAGAGTGCCTGGTGGGGACAGCCTGAGTGCCTGCCTCTTGCTGTGCCCTGGCCTGGACCCATCGTGAGGAGCAGGAGGAGGGTCTCAGAGGTTCAACTCCAAATGGCTTCGTCTTTCCTGCCCCAAATGCAGGAGAGAAACACAGAGAAAAAGACAGAGAATCAAAATTCGCAGAGAAAGACAGAGGCAAGCAGAGAGACAAAGACAGACAAGGGAGACAGAGACAGAGAGACAGAGACAGAGGGACACACAGAGATAAAGAGACAGAGATATACAGAGACAGAGATGAGAGAGAGAGAGAGAAAGGCTGAGAGACTGGGTACCACATGTTGACAGACTCTAGAAGATTATGTGGGGACTATACAGATATGTGAGGACCTGATCTGCCCTGGGGACCCCTCCCCATCCTTGGGGCCAGGGAGGGAGTGGCACTAGGCACTGGGTGGGGGGTGCTCTGGGGGTGGAGGTGAGGGGAGACAGGAGGAGTGAGTGTTGGGGCCCGGCCTGACAGGCACCTGGGAATGTGCCCCGGGGACCAGTGGGTGGTTATATCACCAGCTGCCAGAGCCTAGGAGGCGGTGGTGGCTGGAAGGTGCGGGCCAGTTTGAGCTGAGCAGGGAGCCAGGTCTCCCACCCACTGCCCAGGCGACCCGGGGACAGTGGCAGGTGAGGCCTGTGGAGGGGACTTAGCAGGTTAGGAGGGGGACGAGCCTCTCCTGTGACTCTGGTCTGGCTCAGTCTTATCTTGGATTCACCCTGCCTTCCCTGGCTGTCCACACTCCTCACAGGGACTGTAAGATGCTTACAGTCCCTGTCATCTGCTGCTGGTCCCTGGATTGCCCTAGTAGGGCAATTCGTCTTCCTGTTGTCTCTCTGCTGGGGGTGACTGGGCAGGGAAGGCAGGGGAAATGGGTTGGGACTCTCAGAATCACCTGGGCCTCCCCATCCTCTGGTTCCCACCAGGTGCAGCTGTCATGGGGTGGGCAGGACCCCTCTGGAGGTGGATGCTGGCCACCCTGCTCACAGCCCTGATTCTAGGGGTCTCAGGTAACCAGGGTCCCTGTGTGTGTGCATGGGGTTAGTCTGTGTCACCGGGGACTGTGGGCTGCTGTTTATATCTCCAGCACAGGGTGAATGTGAGTCTGACTGTACCTGTCGCTCTATGTTGCCTGTCTCCCTCTGGCTCTGTATGTCCTGGGTGGAGGTGTTGAATGGAGCTATGTTTTTTTGTCATTGTTTTAATTTTTTAATTGATTTGAGGATTTTATACAATGTATTTTGGCCATATTCAGGGCCCCTCCCTCCTCTTCACTCCCATCTACTCCCCCAACTCGACTTCATGTCCTCTATTATGTGTCTTTTTTAAAAAGTCTATTGATTCTATAATCTGTGTTTCCTAAACTCTTGGGTACCGGTCTATCCTCGTTGTCTGGTCAGCCTACCGGGCATCACAGCTAAGGGTGGGGCTTCCTGCCCACCTCCCCCATCCACACTGGACCCCTGTCTGGCTTGGATTTGCACAGATCTTGCGCATGTTGTCACACGTGCTGTGGGTTCCTATGAGCACCTGCCCTGTTGTGTCCAGACGATTGTTTCCCTGTGGTCATCCACCCCTCTGGCTCTTACAACCTTTCTGCCCCTCTCCCACAATGATCCCTGAGCCTTGGGAAAAGAGGTGTGATACAGGCATCCCATTTAGGGCCGAGGGCGCCGCAGTCTCTTATTATCTGCACATTGACCAGTTGTGGGTCTCTGTGGTCGCCATCTGCTTTAAGAAAACAGTCTCTGGTGAGAGTTGAGGGATGCACTGATCTGGCTGGGGGAACTCACAGGTCTGGGATGTCTTTGAGGCAGGATCTCACAGTATAGCATAGGCTAGGCTGGAGCTCACTATGTAGACCAAGCTGACCTTGAACTAGCGGTCGATCCTCCAGCATCTGCCTCCTGGGTTCTGGGATTACAGATGTGTGCCATCATACCTGTGCTTTTGCTACTGTTGTTTATTTTGAGGCAGAGTTTCATTCTGCAGCCCAGGCTGGAACTCTGGGCAATCCTCCTGCCTCAGCTTCCCAAGTGCTGGGATTCCAGGTGTGCACCAGCTTGCCTGGCTAGGGGGAGGGCTTTTCCTCTATCAAATGGATGCATATGGCAGATGTTACTGACCCTCTGAGACTCTGTGTGTGTGGCTAGAGGACGCTGTACATTTAAGAACACATTTAGCTCTGCCACTATGTGGGCACACGCATTACGGTTCTTCCTGTCCCTCTTTGTGCATGACTACCTGTTCCTGTCTTTGCCTGTGTCATGGGATGGTGTGCGACCACAGTTGTCACTGTGGAAACGTGTGACTGCATGTTTGCAGATAGCTACTTTTGAGTGTGCAGTTGTGGTTAGGTGACCGTAGTTGTGACCATGTAATGGATGGAGTGTCACGTGCTGGTGACTGTGTCTGTGGGGCTGTTAGCATTGGACAGCTGTGCGTATTTGGGGCTCCTTCCCTGCCTGGAGGGACTGAGTATGCAGAGGGTGCTGCAGAGAGGTGACTGTCAAGGTAATTTTCTTGAACTGCACCACACTGGGAATCCGAGAGCTAGTATCCTTGAGTATAACCTCGCCCACGCCTCAGGGCATCTAAGTGCATGTCTGTGTGTCACTCAGACGCTGGCTGGAAAGGTGGGGGAAGTCCTGCAAGGCCATCAGACCTTATGTCTCAGAATGCGTGCACTTTCGGACATACTGTGTGTCTCCGTGTCCCTGCTCACTCCCTTGGCTGTAACATGCTCTGTGTGTTTCTTGGAGTGTGCCTGTGGATGCAGACAGTACGAAGGCCTCACCCTGTCCTGGGTCCTTATCAGGAAGGCGACCAGTGACTGGCCTGTGGGGCAGGCGGCGACAGAGTACGTGTAGGTCTGAGGGGAACTCAGAAAGCCAGCCCTTCCGTCACACCTCTCTGATTCCCCAAGCTCGGTCCAAGAGCTCTGACTCACCCCCTTTCCTCAGCCACTCCCCTAGGCCGGGCTTTTTCCTAGCACATGCCTTTCCCCTCTGCTGTAACCCACCCCAGAACTCAGCCCTATCTCCACTTCCTAAGACAAGGCTCGGTGTGGCCTTGGTCACCGTGCTTCTGTCCTGACTGATTCCAAGCCCCACTCTTGCAGGCTGTGAACTTGCCATCCCTCCTGCCTCAGCTTCCTGAGTAGGTGGGATGACAGGCCTGTCCCACCAGGCATGGTTCCTGATTCAACTTCTGAAGACTAGGTTCTAAATACCAAGCCCTGTCTGTCCTCCAGGCCCTCCAGAGCTCCAGTACCCCAGGGTTCCCTCCTTCTGCTCGCCTGTCTCACCCACCAAGATCCAGGGACCATCAGGAATCCCTTAAGTCTACAAACTCCTGAGCCCACTGGAGCCTGGGAGCAGTCCCAGAATCCAACTCTCCGACCAAGCAGCAATTCATGCCTGTTTGACAAACTCCAGCTCCGCAGATCTGGCCTTGCCTACACTGCTCTGAGCCCATCCCTATAGTCCTGGTCCCATCCTCATAGTCCTGGTCCCATCCCTGCAGCTCTGGTCTCATCCTTACAGCTCTGGTCCCATCCCTACAGCCCAGGTCCCATCCCTACAACTCTGGTCCCATCCTCACAGTCCTGGTCCCATTCCTACAGCTCTGGTCCCATCCTTACAGCCCAGGTCCCATCCCTACAGCTCTGGTCTCATCCCTACAGCTCTGGTCCCATCCCTACAGCCCAGGTCCCATCCCTACAGCTCTGGTCCCATCCCTACAGCCCAGATCCCATCTCTACAGCTCTGGTCCCATCCTTACAGCCCAGGTCCCATCCCTACAGCTCTGGTCTCATCCCCACAGCTCTGGTCTCATCCTTACAGCCCTGGTCCTAACCCTAGAGTTCTGCCGCTGCCCCCACCCCCTTCCCGAGTCCTGGTCCCACCCTCATATCTCTGGCCACACCCCTATGACCCAGGCCCCTTCCTACAACTTTGGCTTTGGCTGTGAAGTTGGAAGGTGAGATCAGACCTTTGCTTGTAGGTCCTGGGTAAGAATCCTTCTGCATCTCAGCCCTGCCCCTGGGCCTATGCTTCATCCACTCTCTACCCCTAGAGCCAGTTCTCGCCAATGATGTTTCCTCTTGTGACAACCCTTCTGGCATGAGCCCCTCTGGGACCAACAGAGACCTGGGAGTGGATTCCAGGAAGAACAGCCAGTCAGACGACAGCCGGTCAGACGACAGCCGGTCAGACGACAGCAGCTCTCGAATAGTGAATGGATCAGACTGTGAGAAGGATGCTCAGCCCTGGCAGGGCGCGCTGCTACTGGGACCCAACAAACTGTATTGCGGGGCGGTGTTGGTGAACCCACAGTGGCTGCTCACTGCAGCACACTGCAGGAAGCCGTGAGTGTGGCTGGACAGGCGAGGAGGGAGGAGGTGGGACAGAGCTGGGGACAAGAGGCAGTGGGGGACAGAGCTGGGTGGGGGAACTGAGGATGGATGAATGGATAGAAAGGATAGATGGAAAGATGGATGAATGGAAGAACAGACAGATAGATGAGATGAAGGAAGGAAGGAAGGAAGGAAGGAAGGAAGGAAGGAAGGAAGGAAGGAAGGAAGGAAGGAAGGAAAGGGACCACAGCATAGGGATGAGGTTACCCTGGTAAGAGGGCAGAGCTGGGCTGGGAAGTAGGGACAGGCTAAGAAGACATAGTATAGAGTGGTTTGGAATGCAGGTGAGACTAGGGTTGTTAAGGATGAAGATGAGGTTGGGATGGGTCCAGGCATAAGGTTGAGACTGGAGATGGGTTGAGGTTAGAGTCAGGAAGGGGACTGAACCTGGCTGGGTTTGGAGATGTGGATGGTTGGGTAGGATTTGGGAGGTAAATGTGGGTGATTTGGGGTGGGAAGAAGGAAGAGGACAGGAGTTAGAGATGGGGGTTGGGGTTGGGCACGCATCCATTGATGGCTTAGAGTAAGATGGACTTATGGTTGGCTCGAGAGTGGAGATTAGTGGGATGGGTGGAGATAAGACAGAGTTGACAGAGTTGGGGCTGGATTCATTCACAGGCCTAAAATTGGTTAAACACCTTTTGGTTTTTTTTGTTTTGTTTCAGTTTGGTTTAGTTTAGTTTCTGTTTTGTTGTTTTGGGGGCTGACCTCAAACTATTCGGGTAGCCAAGGATGACCTTAAGCTCTTGATCTTCCTGCCTCTGTCTCCTGGGCTTTGAGATCATAGCCTGTGCCTTCATGCTCAGTGGGGATAGCTACCTTGGGGTTGGGGTTGAGGATTAACTGATTAGGAGTGAGGGATGGGTAGGTTTGGGGTGGAGAATGTACATGGTTTCTGGAGTATGCAGACTCAGGCTGGGGTTAAGGTGGAAGACGGAATGGAGACAGGTTGGGAACTGCAGTGAGGGTAGAGGTTCATACAAGGTGGGACCGATGGAGTTAGGGGTGGAGTTGGGTTGAGGATGGAGTGGGGTTGGGGCTGAGGGAAGAGGTAGAGTTGGGTTGACGAAGGAGGTGGAGTTGGTTGAGGACAGAGTAGATTTGGGGTTGAGGACAGGGTGGAGTTGGATGAGGATGAGGTGGGGTGGGGTTGGGAACGTAGTGGAGCTAGAGCTGATGTTGGGCTGGAGTAGGGATTGGGACTGCCTTGGACACAGGGACAGGGTTTAGGAACAGGGTTCTGGGCCAGCAGTGATCAGTGCCGTCTTCCTCAGAGTGTTCCGAGTCCGCCTGGGCCACCATTCCATGTCGCCTGTCTACGAGTCAGGGCAGCAGATGTTCCAGGGGATCAAGTCCATCCCCCATCCCGGTTACTCCCACCCTGGCCACTCCAATGACCTTATGCTCATCAAACTGAACAGAAAAATCCGGGACTCTCACTCCGTCAAGCCCATCAGTGTGGCTTCCCACTGTCCCTCCCAGGGGACCAGGTGCACTGTGTCTGGCTGGGGAACGACCAGCAGCAGTCATAGTGAGTATATTTGTTTCTCTTAATCCCTGCCCCTTCCAACAGGGTCTCACTGCATAGCCCAGGCTGGCCAGGAGCTCTGGATCCTCCTGTCACAGCCTTTCCAGTGCAGAGATGACAGGCTCGCCCCACCACACCCAGATGCTCTGTCCTCTTCACCTCCTATGATGCTCTTGATTCATAGAAAACTTCCCCAAGGTCCTTCAGTGCCTGAACATCACTGTGCTGAGTGAGGAAAGGTGCAAGGACGCCTACCCAGGACAGATAGACAAGACCATGTTCTGTGCCGGCGACAAGGCAGGCAGGGACTCCTGCCAGGTAAGTGTGCAGTGCTGCTTACTTAGGAAGTCCTTACTGCATGCAGTTTATATTTAGTGTGTGTATGTGTGTGTGAGTGTGTTTGCATGCATGTATTTGCATGTTTGTGTGTGTTTGTGTGTGTTTAAGTGTATGTTTGTATTTATGTGTTTATGAAATGTGTGGTATGTGTACATGTGTGTTTGTGTTTGTATGTATATTTGTGTGTTTATGTGCTTCTGTATGTTTGTATATATACATATATACATATATATACATATATATATAGACTCCCCCAGTGAGGGGTTGGGGTGTGGCTCCGGTAGAGCCCCTGCATAGCATACTGTAGGGCTTGTGTTCCATCCCTAACACCACAAAGTGTTAACTACTTAATTAGTGGAATTAATTATAATATATTTATTAATATTATTTAATTCAATATACCCCAGGTATTAAATAACTATGAACATATTGTTTTTTTTCCTCAAACCACTGTGCATTTTACATTGAAAACCCATTTTACTTTGGTAGGCCTGTTTCAGCAGCCACACATGGTAAGCAGCTATGGTATCACAGTTCCAGTATAGAAAGAGATCCAGACTGCTCTCTGTGGTTGACCAAGATGCTCACACACAAAGACACCTTACCTGAGGGGCCCCTTTACACGATGACTATCACAGATGTTTATGTGGCATTTTTCAGACTATGACAGATAAATGTATTGTTTCAACAGAATCTGTTACATGGTAGTTTCCCAACATATAAACCGTTTTGAGGAAAGAAAAAAATTTCTGTTCAGTATTTTGGAGAGAGCATTTAGGATAGGATGTGTTATTAGAAGTGCTAAAAGGATCAGAAGGACAAAATAACAACACACAAAACCTTATGGTCAGGGCTGGAGAAATGACTCAGTGGCTAAGAGCACTGGCTGCCCTTTCAGAGGACCTGGGTTCCATTCCCAGCACCCACATGGCACCTAACAACTATCTGTAACTGCAGTTGTAGGTTATCTGATGCCCTCTGCTGACCTCTGCAGGAACTGCACACACACAGTGCATATGCCTACACAGACACACATATACATAATTAAAAGTAACACAAAAAAATCTTGTAAGGGACTGGAGAGATGGCTCAGCAGTTAAAAGCACTGGCTGCTCTCTCAGAGGACCTGAGTTCAATTCCCAGCACCCACATGGTGCCTAACAACCATCCATAACTCCAGTTCCAGGGAATCCGACACCCTTTTCTGACCTCCGAGGGCATTGCACAACACAGGTGCACTTACACACATGCAGGCAATATGCTCATTCATACACATTAAAAAGAAAATAAATATTAAAAAAGAAATATTTTTAAAATGTGCAATCAAAAAATAAAAACAAAAAAGCTCTGTGGTCAAGAAACCATGAAAGTTGGGCAACTTCAGGACGTTGCAAGGAGTTGCCAGAAAAGAAAACCAGAGACTCGATCTTCACAATGGTGGTGCTGAGGCTTTTCTAGAGGGGTGTTCTAGTTAGCTTTCTGTCCAAAAATAACGTGGACAGCAAAGACTGTTTCATCTTAAAACTCCCAGGTCGCAATCCCTCACTGAGGGAAGTCAGGCAGGAACCTGGAGGCAGGAACTGAAGGGGAGACCACGGAGGAACGCTGCTTGCTGGCTTGCCTCTCCCGGCTTGTTCGGTTGCGTTTCTTATACAGCCCAAGACTACCTTCGTAGAGATGGCACCACTCACAATGGGCTGGGCCGTCCTACATCAGTTAACAATTAAGAAAATGCCTGACAGACACACCCACAGGCCAATCCAATGGAGGCAATTACTCAACTGAGATTCCTTCCCAGGTGACTGGGGTTTTTATCCAGTGGACAAAACGCAACCTGCTCAGAGACTGCGAATTACCCTGGTGTCAAACTCGTATATATCAGGGGCACAGGAAAGTCCTGTACAAAGGCCCCAAAGCAGGGAGGAAAGAGCTGGGTTGATTCAAAGAACAGAAAGAAACTAGTATTTCTAGGGCACAGGGGTTTGGGGCAGCAGTGGGGATCTGAGGTTGGAGAGGGGGCAGGGCCAGGGGCTAACAAATATTTCCTGATTGCTGATGCGGAGGGACTGTGCACTCTCTGAGCAGCTTTGCCTAATTAGAAATTAAACTCAAACCATCAGACTAGGGCAACAGCTCAGTCTGACAAGCATGAGGGCCTGAATTCAAATCCCAACACCCACATTGAAAAGCCGGGCTTGGTGGTATCTGCCTGTCATCCCATAATTTCCCCAGAGGCGTAGGTAGGAGGATCAGGAGTTCCAGGTCAGCCTGAGCTACATGGGACTCTTGTCTCAAAACAAATCAAACAGACAAAGGCTAGGGAGGTGGCTCAGTTGATAAAATGCTTACCTTGCAAGCCTGAGGTCCTGTGTTCAAGTCCCAGCCCTTAAAAAAAAAAAAAAAAAAAAAACGAAACAAAACAAAAACAAAAAAACCCAGGCATGGCAGCAGGTGCTTGTAATGCCAGTGTTAGGGGAATGAAGAGAGGGCATCCCTGGGGCCCATTGGCCAGCCAGCCTGGATGGATCAGCAAGCCCCAAGCCAGTGAGAAACCGTCTCAAAATACAAATTGGATGGCTCCTAAGGACCAACACCTGAGGTTGT